CCAAAAAGTGTGATCAGGAATAAATACCTCTGCCAGCGTCCAGTGGTGCCTCTGTATTTTGGAGGCTTCTAGACTAGATGGGTTGTGCTATGTCAACTCTGCAAGAGCAAAGGCAATCAGAGGCAGGAGGAAGGGACAGTCCCAGCTTGTACAGTACTGCCCATTTCTAGCTTTTAAACCCAGAATGTGGTGACTGCAACCATAGGTGATAAGAACAGCTGTGGAATAAATGAAAATACAGGCAACTGAAATATTCTAGACTTTTTTTCCCCCCTACTGTCTAGGAAAAATATTTTAAGTTTGTATAGGATGAATTCCTGATTTTCATCCTGGGATGAAAATACCCCAGCTGTTTTCTGGTGCTGGTAATTCAATGCTAAGTATAAAGAGAGTATAAAGCATTAATTCTAAAATATAAATTAACTTCTTGAAAATAAGTAAATTAGATAAAACATTAAAGTTCATTGCATTTTCTGTTATTAGTTTTTTGGTAATGTCTTAATCACTGGTAGAAGTCATATGAAAACATCGATTAATCTTAAGGAATTGCTCTGATCATCAACAGCTTTTAGAACTTCATTAAACTACTGAAACCTCAGACAGAATGAAACTTGTAGAGCTTTGTAAGCAGTTTGGCTGATGGTGAGGGGCCAAAGTGCTGACTGTCTGCTACGTGTGGTCCATCACAGCTCCAAACCGTGACAAACAGCTGTGGTAGTTGTCTAGAGCCCTCTTTTAGTGGTGGGAAGAATTATCTTCAAGGTGCTGTGAAACAAAAGTGCTTGAAGGGACTGAAAGACTGGAAAGAAAAATGATTTATGTCTTTTCAGTGTGTCCAGTCAGGTCTGCAAGTGGAAGTGACTCTAAGTGATACTTCAGCATTTAATTCCAGTCTGCAGACGTTCTAGTGATAATTGGATTACTTGTTGAAGGCCAGAAAGAAATACAGTTATTTTACAATACAAATACAGTATTTTTATTACCTCTCTTTTTTAGTCCTACAGATCTGTTGCAGAATAGTTCTTAGAAAAATTGGGTGGCTTTAAGAAATGGATTACATAAACAGCCCATTTGATGAGGGTTCCAAGCTGTGAATGCTGGCTTTCTTAATAAGATTTTGTATCTCCTCCTGTATTTGATTAGAATGTAGTTGCTATTTAAATAATAAAAATTTTGATTTAAACGAGGTAATGGGATTGGGCAAAGAATACCCTCTTTTTTGCATACAACCTAATTACTCATAAGGAAGAAAGTTCCTAAGCAGTAATTAAGTTATGGAAAACTGACTGTAGTGAAGGAAACAGACTAATAAAAAAAAAAAAAGTCCCTATACTATGTAATAAATCAAACTCTCCACTAAGAATGTTATGTTTAGAGATCCTTCAGTAGTAATAACTATCAATAGGACTTGGGAAAACAGATGCACGTATTTCATTCTCCTTGTCATCCCTTCAGTGTCTTGTATTAGCTAATGATAATAATTAACGTCTAAAACTTGCCTTTTATCTACCTCATCAGCTTCCAACCTCATTAATATTTTTTTCTATTCTCCATCATCCATAGAATCCAAATTGCTTTATAGAACAATTCGTTTGGGTCCTGGTGGCTGCAGTGGGCTTGTCAATAATGTTTAGGTTCCAATTGGACTAAGAATGAGGTGGAACGCTCTCCCTGAGAAATGGTCTGTATGTCCTCCTCTCTGGCAGTATTGGTTAGCAATTCCTGGCAGGACATCGTTGTATTTTCACACCCCATTAAGCTTACAAACCAGTCACTGTGCTGTTGCATTGACTCCAGCAACCTCTTGTAGCAGAATCCAAGTGAAAAGAAACAGAAGAATTGTGAAAAGTTCCCTTTGCAGTCAGTGGCAAAACTGGCATAGATTTTCATTACTCCAAAATACTAATATTTTTCATCCCTAAGGGGCAGTTTTCTTCACCTTTCTTCCTTTCTCTTTGTGTTCCTCTCTCCCTGACAATCAAAGTTTCGACCTAGAGGATGATTTAAAATTTTAAATTGTGGAATGAAGATGTTACTTAAGTATAGAAGACAGGTCAAGTTGATTCAGTTTTGTTACTTGTCTATGTCAAAGTAGCATAGGAATCCCAAAGCACACAGTACTGAAGGATTTTGGAAAAGTGTTGCTATAAATACATAGAAATGTTTGTTTTCAGTCCTTAAGCACAGATACTCTAGTGATGAGGTTTCTGCAAAATAAAATTAATTGTTTTCTTCCTTTTGTATGCCCTCTTCCCTGTGACAGAATATCATAATCTTGTCTATAATATTATTTGAGAGTGTGAAATGCCCAGTTGGGAAAATCTAGATAAGTCTATGCAGTCAGATCTGCTGTGCTCACTGTGTTGCTTCTCTTTGGTGCAGTTTCACAACAAACAGGCTCACGCTCTTATTTGTAGTAACTATGGCAACTTTAGAAGCTCTGTTTCTAAAGCTGAGCATACAATAAAGTGCCTAAAGTGTAGGTAGGATTAGAGACTCTCGAATATGTTTAATTTTCTCTCTGTGTCTCTGTCTTTGGAGAGGAGCAAGAGGGTAATGTGAGTATTAGCTGGGGACTGGCTTTAATCTCCGCAGACACTCAAGTCTGCCAGAGTCTGCTCCAAACTGTCCAAAGGCCTCATCCTTCCCCAGCATGTGAACAAGGGGATCATGAATATTCATGGCTGTGGTCACAATGGAAAACCTACACACAGAAAGGGGTGTCTGAAGGAGTGAAAATGTTATTGAAACCATTTTGCAGCTTCAGCTACAGTAGTCAGTAATGATAAATGCCACAATGGTGATAGAGTTCATAAGATAATGGGGATGTCTTAGATATTATGTAAGCATGAATGGATCTGGTAATAGGAAAAGAGCATTTGCCATGGGGTTTAGCAGTGGGTTTGTGTTGAAGGACATAAAGACTATAATAGCAGGATCATTCCCAAGGCTAGTACACACAAAAGTTTTGATAGTACATTTTTGGTCTGTGTGGCACTTTGTCTGATTGAGAGCTCTCTGAAAATTGCTGTTAATATTATAGAAAATATGCTTTTATGCAAGTGCTGTATTTTATGCAGAAGCCATATTTTAGGAACACAGCAAGAAAAGTCTGCTTCTCATCCTAGGAGCCAAGCCAGGGAGGGTGGTAGGTTGTTTTTCACAGTCCACTGGGAGAACTTCATGTTACTTTTTGGCACTCACGGCATGCTCTAAAACAGACCTGGAAAAGACCTGCTGGGTGTCAGCTTTGGTTTATCTGCATTCATCAGCTTGCATGCTTTGCAATCTATTCTCACTATTGGCACTAATGACTGAGAGTCTGTACATATATGACTTTATTACTTTGGCATCTTACTGTTGTATATACTCAAATGTAATCTTCATTGCAAATACCAAGTTCATGTAACTTAAATGTAGCTTGGCACTTGTCTTTTTGCTTAATTCTAGTAGTGATGTGCTGACAGAAGAGAATATATTGATATTCTCTGTTGTGTTCACCTGTTAAGGCTTTGATGTGATCCATAATTTATTTTGGTCTTAATTTGTCTCCTCTGTCATTACCTCAAACTGGAATTTTTTTGAACGAAGAAGGTGTGCAGCATGCTTCCTGACAAAGTTTAAAGACGTCAATCAGGAAAAAGAAAAAAAGCTCCATAGTAGTTAACACTTTATTATTTTTGATTTTCAATTCTGGACTTTTTGAATTTGAAAATAAATATAAACTGCTAGGAAAAGACTGTTTTGTTGATGCATGCCAGTGCAGGGCTGTTCCCTTCTGTTTGTGTCCATGCTACTCTTCATCTAAACCCTTCTCTCTCTGTTGAGGTTGCAAGATTGTTTAAGTCCAGTTCCTCTCTTCTGTTGTTTTGTTTGAAGTTCCCCTCTGTCTGAGTTTTCCCCTCCTGTCACCCCCTGGCAAATGCCCATAAGAACATTTATCTCTGTGCTTAGATGCTCCCCAACCCAAAAGACGTCAAGGAGATGAGTAAATTATGCATATTCTTCTACTGGATGTGAAGCTACATGTAGTAAATAATTGATGCCCTGCAGGCAAACCACTCATGTGATTCAGAAAGGCTTGGCTCCTGTGTGGGTAACTTGGAAAAGATTATATCATAACTTTTCAGCTGCAGAATTGGGACCAACATCTCTGACACTTCATAAAATGAACTCTGTAGTTCACTTGGAAGACGCCTGGCTGATAATCCTGGGAATTTAAATCCTTTGTCTACATCCCTGACATGTGCCTCAATCCTGGCCTCAAGGGACCACCTTGGGAGGTGAATGTGTTGTAGTTTGTGCCCATTTAAACATCATCAGGAGCTCCCTGCCAGTGTCTGTAGTGTCTGGTCTCCTGGCAAGTGTGTGAAAGCACCCAGGCATAAAGGATTGAATTTAGGTAATATTAGAAATCAAAGAAGTTTAAGTGTCTCTGACATTATTTGTGCTATTTTGAGATATTAACCTGGATAAGCTTTCCTTTTCTACATCTCTTAAACTTTTGCAGTGAAAATAAGTCATCTTTCCTGTACATGAGGTACAGCCTATTTTGTTTGCCAGTGCTAGGAAGTATAGTGTTGAAGGATTCAGATCATGAACAACTGACTTTATTTTTTATTTAAACTCACTAGGAAGATCATTGGAACATTTCAATTGGCTGTAATTTTGGTTTAACACAGTATGTCTTTTTAATTCCTGCTGTTCATTTGGTTGGGCTTTTCTGTTTGCTTGGGGTTTTTTTGACTCAGTATAAACCCTAGCAAATTTGTGTGAAGTTTAAGGGCATACCTCTTTTAAAATTAAATTGCCTCATATGCAAGTATTTGCATGTTGAGTGTCAGCACTTGTAAACATTTTACTTTTTCAAACCCTTGATTTCTACTAGTTTTCTGAGTTTAAGGGATGGGGAGGGCTGGGGGAGGTGAGAGGAGTAATAAATCAAAATAAACAATGTTTCATCAGTAAATACATAAATGGTCCTTAACTCTGCCCCACAGTCGTGAGCCAGTGGGCAATTTATGCGATCCGGAATCTCACTGAACAGAACGAGCAGAACCAGGCGCTGATTGCACAGATGGAGCAGAAGGGGCTGGCAGACAGCTCTGCCCTCGAGAGGATGGGCTTGGAGATACAGCAACGAGATGACAAGTTAATTCTGCGGTCAGTTAGGAAGAAGCCCTCCTGAGCAAAAATGTTAGCAATAGTCATATCACTAAAAGGGTACTTCTCTTATAAAATATTTTTCCTTGCTCAGAAGCCATTATTTTTTTAGTGCCAGTCTGTTTAAAATGTTGTGTTTGTTCTCAGACAAACTTCCAGATGATGCTTCTGCCTCCCTTTGCTGTAAACAAAAGGCCACCTATGCGTTTTCTATGTTCCTGGTTAAATCAGCTTCTGAAAAAAGGTTCTTCTTGTCAGTTGGTTGGAATTTCATTACTTCTCTTTTCATCAGTAGAAGAATGTCATACTTGCAGTATTGACTTGTTATAATTTCCTTTACTGAACCTGGAGATAACTATCATTAAAAAACTTTACAAAGAAAGAGTTCCTTTGCAGGCTGCCTTCTCCATGTAAAAGATCTGTGCTGAGTTAGGGCTAAACAAGCAGAGTTACTAATTTTCAATCATGGGACCTAAATATCTCTATATAAACATCAAGGGAATGTTGGATGTACTTAAATATTTAGTGAATTAAACACAACATGCCTTTTGTCTATTTAAATTGTTAGTAAACTGTCTTTTCTACCTTGATACCTATCAGTCTTCATGACAAGTATATTAAAACCAAAGCTGAAGCTGTTGTGGCAACAGATGCTGCATTCCTTTGCACTGGGGCATGTCTCTGTTTTGGAGACTTGGGTGTTTGTTTGAATTTTATTTGTTCCTTTGGAGGGTAAGTCAGCCCACTTTCCTTTTATTTTGCACTTCTCATGGGTTTTCTGAACTTTGGCAGACTGCTGAAGAGGTAGTTTCTCACTGTGATTAATTCTAGCAGTTTCTTTTCACCCCTCTGCCTTTCCAAAACATTGACAAAACTCATTTCCAGTTAATTAATTCAAGAGAGGCAGAAGAATAGAAGGCCCTGCCTCTTCATTTTGGGTACCCTCCTATATTGTTGTTGGACCCTGCCACTGTGGAATGTGGCATGAATGAGATGGGGGAAAAGGGGGGTGAAGCTGGGGGACAGGGGGAGGAGGGCACAGTTAACTCTGTGTATGCCATAGCTTTGCCCTGGAAGCTGAAAAATGTAATCCTCCCTGCACAGGCAAAACAGGAATTAAAGCTTAATATTGCTGGTACTTGTGCACGCTTACTGTCATTGGATTATTTTCAGCCATGTCTAACTCAGAGGTCTCAGAAAAATTAACATGTTCATGTTCTTGTTGACATTTAATCCCATTCTAAATAGAATGGCAAGTTCGTGTCCTTTAACTCCACATTACATATAACCCACCTTCACCCATGTGCATGAGATTTTGATCCTTCAATTGAGTTTTTGATGTAAAAATGGAAAAAAGTACACATGGCTTTGAACTCTGCGAAACACATCATACTGCTTAAAACTGGTGGTGAATACAGCTGGACTCCTAAGGTCATTTCAAGTTAACAGAAAGATGTTGATGTCTGCCATGCCATCCTGGTGGGACTATGGAATTGACCCAGTGGGATTTTAGACACCTGTTGGTTTTACAGGCAAGGATACAAAACTCCTGTCTATAGCCGTTTATTAAGTAAATGATGTCTGAAAAGGGATAATGGAAATAGGAACAAAGGTTCTAACTTTTATTGCTTTTAGTGACTTTTTACTTGAAAAATAAATAGGGGAGAAAAGTGTTCTTTGCTTTAGCAAGGACTGAATATGAATGTAAGAAGATTGATTTGTTTTCTTTTAAAGAATGACTTGAGAGGGATATTTTGTTGGGTGTTAAAAATTGTGTTGAAGTGCTGTTGTATACAGGTAGGTGCTTTTTTCTGGCTGAATGGAAATGTGATTGTGGTTCTTCTTAAGCACATGATTTCTCAATTATTTCCTTAAGCCTTAATTATTGTGTATAGGCCAAAATTCATTTAGCATTTTCATTACTGTCACATAAGATTTACAGCTGGGATTGTAGGGGGTTTTGATCTCCATAACTGAATGGAAGATTCATACATCTAGCACCTTTTTTCAAAAAAAGAATTCTTTTTCAAAAAAAGAAAAAAAAGTTGCATCATTCAACTTTAAAAGGAAAGAATTAAAATTTTGCTAACAAAGGAGCATCAAATAGGACACTATCTGAAATAAAGTGAAGTTGTTCTTAATTTGGCAATTACAAAAATTCAAACACTTTTATTTTAGTGCCATTACTTAAAAAACTCAGATAATTTAACAAAGTTGAAAAAAAAAATAAAATTATTCCAAATAGAAAATGGACTTGCTGTGCTTTCTGTGTAAGGAAAAAAAATGCAAATAATTTCTTTTTATTTAGGGTGATAAAGAGTTAAAATCCTGTTCACAAAGCAAATCCAGAGAGAACTTTGGTTGTGGAAATAGCAGTGGGAGTCCGTTTTTCTTTTTAAGCAATGGGGAATAGACAGGGTGGGGTTTTTTTTACTTGATGGTTGTACGCTCACCAATGGAATACATACGAACCCATAAATATAAGCCAAATAATAACAAACACACACAAAAAAAAAATAGTTTGTGTGTTTCAGTACATAATGGAGTAATAGTTGTGTTTTCTGAAAGGGAAACGTACAGCTTTCATAGTGGAGAACATGCTGATTACTGTATTGTGAATGGCTGGCTTTTGATTTTCCAGGATGGATTAATTCTCGGAAGACAACAGCTTCCCTGTCCTCTCCCAGTGGAGTCCCGGTCTCCAATAGACTCGTTTTATATGCTTGGGGATTAATACAGCACAGCAATCAGTCATAAAAAGCAAGCTTTAGTGAGTTTGTAAGGGGGCAGAACAGGCAAATCAAGTCTTGTGACCATCTTATTGCTTTCGAGTGCTTTCAAACAATAGTGATTAGATTTTTTTTTTTTTTTTTAAAGTCCATTTGTTATTAAAAGAGAATAGGGAGTTGGTTTTTCATTTTAAGTGGAGAGATTCTGGAAGAGCTTTCTGGCAAATTGTGAGAAATAGCCTGAAATGTTTGCAAAGCTCTGAATATGCTTCTAATAATTGAAGCTATTTTTGTCTAAAGTGCTTGTAAAATACATTTTTAAATACAATCCCCTCCCCCCTCCAGAAAAAGTCACAGGCAGTTTATGCCATTGTCACAACCTTTATTTAACAGTCAATTTGTATTTTGAGATTGGTGCAAGTGTTTGTGTAGTGAGAATCAAAAAAAAAGTCCTCTTGATTTGCAAATGAGAAAGTACTAAAAATGTGAGGCTGTACCCAAAATTACACTCATTTTTTATACCAAGCTTGAACTGTGTCGTTGGGTTGTATTGACTTCAAACTCCCTGTCTTCTTAGTTTAGACTTCTTTGTATGAAATGGGGGAATTTATGAAGCAATGCAGAAGAATGCATTTTAGTAAGAAATTGTTCCCTGTGAGGGTGGTGAGGCCCTGGCACAGGTTGCCCGGGAAGCTGGGGCTGTCTCATCCCTGGGAGTGTCCAAGGCCAGGTTGGATGGGGCTCTGAGCAGCCAGGGATAGTGGAAGGTGTCCCTGCCCTTGGCAGAGGGGACTTTTAACTGGATGGTCTTTAAGGTCCCTTGCAACACAAACCATTCTGTGATTCCCTGGACTTCCCACTTCTTTCTTAAAATCCCTGTGTCCCCCTTAGCAGTGTGCACCGCCGGCTCCCTGCAGTGCTGTCCAGGGTCCTGACGAGCTACCCCCACTCTGCCAACAAACCTTTCCATGTCGAGAGTTGCTTCCAGTCTCTTGCAGCTTGGCCAAGGCATAGCCATTCCAGTGGTTCTGTGCTGCTTTAGGCTTAATGGGTTTCTCTAAGGGAACTTTCTCTTCCAGTAGTTTCCGATAACATCCAGCAATTTATGAGGATGAGAAACTGGAATTGATTTTTGAATAGGTCTTTCGTATCTTTGAAACAAGTTTTTTGGGGGGGAACCTTTAGCTGTTGCAGATATTAATGAGTGTAGTGAATTTTCCTCTGGCATAACCCTGTCTGAACTTGGCCACATTGTAAGCTCTGGAAAACTTTAGTTTATATACTGGAAGAAGAGACATGGGGGCTGAGCTATTAAACTTACTGAGTTGATGTATCCAGTGTCCGTACAGGACATTTCCCACAACTGTTGTCCCTCACTGGGATGGTACTGGTAAAAGAAGGGAAGAACAGAGAGACTCTGCATTTCTCTCAGACCTGCCTTGTGATGTCTATCTAACGTGGAATTAGGACTACCTAGGCTGGAGAAGGCAGAACCAAATAAAAGTGGATTTTGGGGTGAGAGAGGGAGGAGTTCAGGTCCCAGGGAGAGCTCCTGGGAGATGGAAAACAAGTTGTCAGTCAAACGAGAGAGTATTGCTAGTATTGCTAGTTTGCATCTTCCATCCTGCTGTCTGGGCACTCACAGAAATTTGCTGTCCAAAAAGTATCTATTTAGGAAGAGACCCCCTTTCCAGACTAAAGTAAAAGAGTTGTCTTCTTTCACCCCAAATTTCATTTGGACAGGATTGCCACTGTATTGCTTTTAATTGCCTTACAGAATCATGAAATCATTAAGGTTGGAAAAGAGCTCCAGGATTATCAAGTCTGCACTGGAATCAAGGATACTCTGCAATTTTGCTCAGGATTTTCTGAAGCCTTACAGCTTACTCTAAAAGCAGTATGTAATTCAGAGAATACCTAAATAGTTAAAATGTTTAAATAGTAAAGAGGAAATGTACAAACAAGTCTGAGAATTCTAGTTCTGCATGGATTTTTGTGGGAAAGGAAAATGCAGCTGGAGGTAAAGACCAAGGAATGCCTAGAGCATTTAAAATTAACCTCCTGGTTTTTGCTGCAAACCATCTTATCTCAGTTCAGAAGTGGAGCTGATGCCTCACTGGTGATGATGTGGAGATGTCACAGAACTTCCTGAGCAAGACACACTGTAAATTGCACTTGGTTTTGTTTAAATTTAAGATGGCTTCTGTAACACATTTATTCCAAACTTTAAAGTTTTCTTTCATTTTTAGTACAAGTAAGTATTAATGTAGAAACAGAATTGCACAAAAGGGATTTGTGTTTGATTTTTCATTTTGTCATTCAGGAAGTATTTCAACCTGTCTGTCCACTTGCAGAATTGTTGCACGATGCCTTTAGCTCGGTAATAATTCGAGATGTCTGAAAATCTTCATGCTTTAGCATACATTCATAGTCAATATTTGTTATAACACAAACAGTCCAGTCAGTAATGTGTTTTTTTGTGTGGTTGTTCTTAAAACATTTTCTTCTCCTGGAGTTTCGAAACTTCAGTCAAAGTAAGCACAAAAGCTGTGTTGCCTAAGGGAAAAAGTCTCAATAAAGCTCTGAAGTGGTAGTGCATTAGTCATTGAGAGGTACCTCGCTATGGTAGTGTTAACTCTAAAACATAAGCAGAACAAATGGTGGTGATGATCACTCTTCTACTGTAGAACTTGTTTTCAGAAATACATATTTATGTAGTAGTCATAGCACAGTAATAAGGAAAAAAAAATAAGATAAATTAAATGATCCATACCAAGTCCTCAGTCTGGGTGGAAAGGGGATTTTCAGCTGTTGTGCTGGGCAGTTTTGGTTTTGAAATTGTGTTTACTGGAAGTTACTATAATTATAGAATGGTTTGGATTGGAAAAGGTGTCTTAAGACCAAT